AAGACAGACAGAAACGATCATTTTTTATGATTTGGCCTCAGAAGTCACAAAGCATTCCTCCTGTCATAGGCACTAGAAGCGAGTCCCTACGTCTGACCCAGATTCCAAGTTAGGTTTTACACTTATATCATGAAACTCGTATCATTTCAGTTTCACATGGGGAAGGTATTAAGGTCCCACATCTGCAGATGAGGCTCAGAGAGGTTAAATACCCTTCCCAAGGCCACAAGGCCAAGAGGTGGCAGAACTCAGACTGGAACCTAGAAATGGCTGACTCCACAACCTGTGCTCTTAACCTCCATCAGCAATGGTTTTTCACCTGACACATCATTTGTGAAGCCACAGACACTTGGGACCCCTGCCCCCCAGGATGTCTTAAATCATTTCTGGAGCTTGGTCCATACACTAGAATGTTTTTAAGCTCCCCAGGTGTTTCTCAGGTGCATTCTATATATAGAACCACCCCTCTGTGCCTGATGGTTTTATATTATTAATATGGGTAGTTGACTCCAGCTGGACGGTGAGTGCCTTGGGGGCAGGGCCCCTGCCTAAGTTTCCTGTGACTGCCACTGTGACAGCATAATGCCTGCCTGCAGGAGGCAGGCACTCAGAAAATATCATTGGACAGAATTCAGAGCAAACTGCCACCCAGAATGTCAGTTGCCAAGGGGTTCCAGTGGAACTGAGGGGCAAACAGTTGGTGCCTGGGAGCTGGCCTATCTGGCCACTCTCTCCAGTGGGCAGGAGGTTCACTGGGGCCCACTTGGTGGGCAACCCCTGCTGCCAACTGGGGCACCTCGGCTCAGCCCAGAGCAGAGGTGTTAAGAAATAACTCTCTCCCAAGCTTCCTCTCCCAGTTCCCAAACTTAGAGGCCTAGCATAGGGCCTAGAATTCACAGAGGCTTGGTGGCTGTTTGTTCAACAGTCAGTCCATTAATATGGATCGCAGAAGCCGATCTCGCAGCAGATGCGTGAGCCGAATCCCTGGGACTCAGTCCCGAGCCCCCAGTGCCCCACTCCCCTTGCATGTGGAACAGGAGGCCAGTGAAGGAGGAGAATGGGAGCAGCGAGAGCTCCCTCCTCAGATGACTGAGATCTACACGTGCCTGGAAAGTGAGGAGTTGGCAGACACTGTTATGGGTAAGAACATGCTCTCCCCTTCTCAGCAAAAGGGAGGTGGCTTCATATTTTTCTTCCTAGGCCCACAGGAAACAGGGGTCAGAAAACAGAAAGCAACACTTATATTGGGCAGGACTGGGCTGAGGGATGAGTTTGGAAAGGGCAGGTGTCCTATCTGTCACAGGAGCAACTTGAAACTGAGACAGGCTGTTGGGAACATTAGGTGTTATTTACAAAACCAAGTACTTACAGTAGCAAATCCCCTGTGCCAGGAGCCTTGGGAAACATGCGAATTTGACATTGATTTCGACCTCAGGGAGCTGACAATCTAATAGAGAAAAGTCAAACTGTTAGGATAGCTTCTGTGGGATTCAGAAAGATGGCAAGGGCCCAGGAAGATAAAAGGGATTCTGAGGACATAAAGGCTGCCCGCCGATGGTTCCTGTCTTTCTGGTGTGTGCTTGGGTCTTTTTCTCTCCCACCCCCAGTCTTCCCCTACCATCCTAGCAAACAGGTGAGTGATGGGGTAACTGTCAGAAGATGGAACAACACTGATGGCAGAAAAGGGTTTCCTGGGAACTTAACCAACTCTTGATTTTCAAAAACAAGACATACCTTGAGGCAGACAGTCTTGAGTCATCAAACTGTGACTTCCCGGCTTGAAAAGTTCCTTTCCCGCTGGAAAGGTACTGAGATATTGCTTTTCAGGTTAGACCTTCCTTCCCCAAGTTCTCCCGGGACTTAAAAGGGCTCCGGCCGGAGAGGGGAGTCAGAGCACTGTTCACCCAGCTCGCTGCAACGAAAAGGTAAATAGGTGTTAAAGGTATAAAAGGCATCCATTTCAAAGGCGGAAGGGTTCGTTGCAGCTTCGGGAAGGAGGCAGGCTGGTGTGAGGCCTTTCGGGGGAGTATAAATCAGCGCTGAGCGCGAAGCCTCTCACCCGTAATGGCGGCCGGCGTGACTCCCGTAATGGCGGCCGGCCAGTCGCAGCGACCTGGGGAGGCCAGGCTCCAAGGAAGCCTCATGGAAGAGATGGGCCTAGAAGGGCGAGCAGGGCCTAAAACAATGCTGAGAGCGGGCGGGAAGGAGGGCGGGAGAGCAAGAGACCAGCCATAGTCGACGCCACTACCGGGTCCTCCGCAAGCTAGGCTTCCTTAGGTGGCCTGGGCCTGTCCCCAGCGCGCATGCGCAAGCAGTGGGCGTGGGGTGGCGTGGGC